AGATCTAAATGTTTTTGCAGTGTATGAGTTGCAGATTACAGGACAAATTTTTCCTGAAATCAAATTGCTTATTAGAGTCTAGACTGTTTGTCTATAAGTGGAGGTTGATGGATTGATTTATGGTGGATTCCATGACTTTACAGGCAATGCAGCAAATGGAGATTGGTCTGTAATTTTCAACAAGGCTGGGGTCTCCTTTTTTGAAGATAGGTATGACTGTTGCTAATGACCATAGGTCAGGCAAGGAACTTGTTCTAAAAGATACTTCATAGATGGTGCTTAGATGTTCAGCTAAGGGAGCAGAGAGTTTTTTAGAAAGTAGGCACCTATTCCATCAGGACCAATAGAAAGAGATGGCTTTAGATTGTGTAGTGCCCTTTTGATAGTATCTTCAGTAAAATCAATGTGGATTACATCATTGCAATTGTGGTACGCCTAGGAAATGAGGGGGAGATGCCATTGCTGTTGACAAAGACTGAACTGAAAAAAGTGTTGAAGAGATTGGCCTTAACAACATCATTGTTATAATCAAGTTTACCTATCACTACCTTGAAATTGCTCTATATTGAATTGGATGGGGCTAGCATCTCTGTTTAGCTTCACAGCTGACTATTATAATACGTAACAATGGGGACAACTATGGAGACAGCAGAGTTTAGGTTGATGTATTATCCTCTTGTCTCAACCATAAGGACACTGATGTGGTAGAGAAAAGAGACTAATCTAAAAACCTTGAGAAATAAGCAGTGTTATATATAAACCAGCAATCCTTGTGGTAGGAAAGAAAGGTCAGTTTATAGAGGTTTCCTTTGTATTCCCCGGCCCCCTGAAACTTGGCATGTTTCACAAATTTGGAAAGGAACTGTTATACTTGAGAACTTCATATGCTGTGGCCCAAACACTAACATTATAGCTATTTGTTCATGTCCTTGTTTCAAATAATAGTGATAGCTGAAGATTAAAAAAAAAGTCTACCTCACATGCTTGTGAATAGAATTGAATCAATATCAGATCCAGCTGACAGAATTGCACAATTATTATTATTTTTTTTGTAAATTTCTACTGGCATTTTACACTTTTTTTAGATGTGTGCAGATACTATATGCTCAGATAGATGCGATTTTCATAAATCCTAAAAGAAAAAAAGTGCTTAAAGATTCTGAGAATGGTCCTGCAATTGCTGCATGGAAACCAGAGGAAAAACTCAGAAAATGTCAAGTCTCACAACTTATTAAAATAATTTTTCTCATGGCAAGTGACTGATTTTGGATCTTAGTATTTTAAGTGTGACAGTACACTTCACATGTCTTCTAATTGGTGGGGCATGGACAAAAATATATTAGCTTGGAATCTAATCTCTTGTTTAGATATCCTAGATAGCAAAAAATAGTGTGGAATAAAATTGGGCTTTGGTCGCACTTGTGGCAGACTAGCTAAAAGAAACAGTCTTTTCTATTAAAAAGGAATGGTGATACATTTAAGGTACAGTTAAGGCTGGAAATTTAGTCTGATTGTTTCTTCTTGTTCTAAAAAAAGCATTAATGGTAGTCCTCAGTTAACAACAGTATTTAGGACCAAAAGTTATTGCTGAGCAATGTGGTTGTAAACTGCAACATAAGTGTACTGCTCAACAACAGCAATCTTCGCATTCCCCATTGCCCTCATTAAAGAATTGCCTCACAATTTTCTTCAGCTTCCAACAAGCAAAGTTGTCAGGCATGCAGCCGGTTCCTTTTAGGATCTTTGCCACACTCTCTATTATTTTACTATTCTTTTTCATTAGTGGGGAATTGGGAGGGGAATAGTAAGGAATAGAATGTGTTGTTGTCAAAATAAAAATAAAAATCCTTTCTAGAAGCACAAGGTCATCTTTTGTCTCTGCACCTCTGAGCCTGACTGGAACTGGATGGGTGGAACTGCCAGTGTGGCAGTGGAAGATTGGACTATGTGATGGACTTGTGGGTGTGGGGGGCAAGATTATGAACTTTCAACTGGGTGGGGAAACCCAGGAAGCTCAGATTCACGTTTCCACAGATGTACCAACATGTCTCTCTTAATAAATTGGAAGTTGAGGAAAGTTCTGCCCTGAACTCTGATTTAATTTTGGATGATATTTGGAATGCTGACAAAAGTCATGAGGAAGCCAGGAAGACATTGCAAGACCCAGATGGTTCAAAAGCAAATTGATAGGCAGGTAAGTAGCTGCTGCCAGGTGCAAGGAGTGTGTGTGAGTGGCCACTGAGGCACAGAGGGGGCTAGAAGTGGCTGTTGCAAGTGCATGAGGAGCTAGCACAGCATGAGTATTGTTAGTAATATAATCTAACGGTTGAGTTGGCAATATATAAATCATGTAACAATGCTGTACTTGTTTCTTTAAATCATGCTGTAAAATGTGATTGGTTGCTGTTTCCTCAACTGGCCATAAGATGGAGCCAAAATCACTGTTAGATGCTGATCTGATCTGGCTGTTAGAAGTGCCATATTGTGATCAGGTGAGCTATTGTAAGTTTTGCAACTGCTAGCAAACTTTGTGTACCGGACTGTTTGTATGATTATGGACTATGTTATTTGGATTATCCCTTAACTGAAAGACGCTGATGACTGACTGTCTTAACCTTGTATGATGTGGACTGTTTGATGGACTCTGATACCTCTATTTCCATGAAAACAAAAGCCTATTTAAACTG